TGACATAGTGAAGATAAGCTTTTCTCTTGACCAGCCTTGCTGAGGTTACCTTTGCGTTCACTCTTCTGGGTTGTATGGCCCGCTCGAATTATCCTTCGCTGTACTCATTCCCTTTGACCCTTTAGGTGATTAAGTTCTTCGTGAAGACTCTAGGGTTCACAGATAGGTCATGCTTTCTCATCCAACGTTTTAATCACCCCTCTCTTTTGTTATGGCTGGTGGTTCAAGTTTTTGTTTAGGTATCTGTGTGCGTTGGCCACCACCAGACAGATACCTGAACAAAAATTTGAACCATCAGCCACAACAAAAGAGAGGGGTAATTGAAAAGTTGCTTGAGAGAGCACGACGAATCTCCGGCCGTGAAAGTTTACATTCCTCGAAAAATTATCATGTAGAAACGAATGCGAAAAGAAATATTAATATTATTGAAAGTTTTTGAAAGGAACTCGGAATCAAATGACCCGTTCATCGTATTTTTGGGCCTCTTTGAGGACCTGTTTTCGACAAAACACTTCTCAACTAGACTACAAAACACCTCGTCGTATCAACTATCAAACGGAACACGCTACGGATAAATAGTTCAAATGGAACGTCGTCTTATCGGCTCGTTTGTATCGAATTTGTAAATAGAACAATAAACGACGTAATGGAGATTGATTGGCGGATAACGTTACGATTGTTGATTGTCTAGGCATTCGCGCCCACACTTTACACGCCTCCTGCAGACGCCAAACACTGCTTGTGAATGAAAATGAACAGCGAACAATTGATAAATGAATTTCAATAACGGACGTAGTGATGGCATAATTCAAACGAGATGCTTGGCGGGGAGTTGGTTTGAAAGTAAGGTTAGAATGGAAATTTCAGATGGGCTGAGAAACTCGTAGGCTAACGTGACTAGTATCAGTTACATACGATTTTCAGTTAATCCTAACCTTCAAAAGACACATGTACAAATTTCACAGCTGTCAGACTATTAGTTTGTGGGATAGAGTGAAGCAACTTTTGTTGGTTTGAAGAAAATCGGTAGAAGGGAATTTTGTGTGTTAATAAAGCATTGCTTTTTGACGTAAAAAATACTGTTGAAGCTGAGGCTTGGCTTGATTATTCGGACTTCGTATCAGGAAAATCAACCGTTGATAAGTGGTTTGCTAAGTTCAAACGAGGTGAAATGAGTACCCAGGAGGATGCATGCAGTGGACGTCCCAATAGTCTGGATCACAAGATCCTTTTTTTGGAAGTTCTGTCCAAGGGCACCAAAAATTATGATCCAGGACTCATTCGATTCGGAATGACATCTAGCCACTGAAAAATTTCAAGAGGGTCTCGAAATAATTGCAAAAGTTATAAACAATTTAGTAAAAAAAGAAGGGGGGTTTGGTTTTTCGCTTATATCTAGGAAGATATTCGAAATTTGAAAGAAAATCCTTAAAGATGAAGGAGTTTCCTGAAAAAAAAGTCCCACCTCTCGGAACTATATCATCAATATTTATAATTTTAATTTAGAGGCGAAATAGCGCTTAAATACTACAAAAATGTGTCACTGTTTGTGTGAAAAAATAAAAATATTAAAAAATTGTAGAAAAAGTGAAAAAAATATTTTTTTGGAGTATTAAAAAATATGGTAAAAATTAATTTGTTTAAAACAAATTGTTCATTAAATAAATGAAGAGAATATAAATTAATTTTTTTTCAGAATATCGAAAAGAAATAGAAATGACTTTGAAAAAATCGTTCCTTAATATTCATATTTAGTAGCAAAAAAAATTGTTAATCAACAAATGCGTTTTTAAGCAATGGAAAAAAATTTTTAGGTAACGATTTTGTTTTTGAAAAATCATAATATCCATCACTGATAAAAATCCTCCCAGAAAATTTCTAATTTGTTTATAGCAATTTTTTTAAACATATTGAGCTAAAAATTATGAAAAATCATTTTTATGTAACTTCAAATAATAAAAATACGAATAAATTTTAATATTGAAAACGGGAATATTTTTTGAAGGCTTTCAAGAAAAGCTCCAAGAAGTGGAGAATTTGAATTATAAATATTGGTGAGTTCCGGAAGGAAGGAATTTAGTAAATTTCCTCCTCTTTAAGGATCATTTTTCGAATTTCGGATATCTTTGATATTTTTTGAAATATTTGCAAAAAACTAAACCCCCCCTTTTTTACCTAATTTTTTATAACTCTTTCAATTTTTTGAGCCCCTCATAAAATTTTTCAGAAAGTTGCTAGAGGTCATTCCGAATCGAATGAGCCCTGGATCATAATTTTCGGTGACCTTGGACAGAAGTTCCAAAAAAATGAT